AGCTGTGTAGCAACCCATTTGAGTATGTCTATTTTGACGCTGGTCACAACACTGAAGGCTTCAATTCTCAGATTGCTCATTTGATATGGGACGGATCTCCTTTCAGCAACATCACTTCTCCTTACACTCTCAAACAACTCTATCACATGTAGCTCCCATCATCTTCTCCATCTACCTATATTTTATCCATCAACCACAAGCTATCTTAGTGACAGCGCTACCTCACTCTCTTAGAAAAGTCCCAGGTTTAAACCAGGCACAAACACGTTTGTGCGTGTCCTTGTCTTCTTTCTATGGAAGTCGGAAGAGCTAAATTAGACAGACTGTCATTGTTCTGTGTCTACTTTTTTTTTTCTTTTTTTAATTATCAGCTTCTGTGTCTACTTAATAAATGTGTTTTGTATATCACTTCTACCCTTTCGTTTCATTTGTTTGGAAAGAAAATCAGAGATAAAAGCAATACCATGATGGTTCATTAGGTTTACGTGCGTCAAAGTTTTACATCATGTTATAGTTAATTAATGTGAATATTCAGCTCACTAAAAAAGATTTGTTTGGGCTAAATATGAAACATTGCTTATCAAAGTATTGGGTAGGTCATAAAACTATATGGGCTAGGTGATTGGAGAGTCAGGCTCAATCAACCATTTAAATAAAGAGTTCGGCCCCGAGCTCAATGGAAAGCCACGGCCAATGAGCATGTCGAAATCTCGCCAGTTGTAAACCCACTCAATGGACCATTGGTATACAAAGACATGATTTCAGATGATCTCGAATCTCACGAGAACAGCATCATCATGCCCAAGTATTTTGACGAGACGGGCTAGTTATCAAACATGGAAGACAGTGAATAAAGACCATACCATAAGTTTTGCGGGATCCTTGATTCTTTGAAAAAACATTCTAAGTTCTAAGAGAGAGGTTGCCACACTCTGTCACTATAAATAGAGTACCAAAGCGTAGAAGAAAAAAAAGTCAACACTCAAAAACTCACATTTTGCACCTATAGTTCTTGAATTTATCAATTAGCTTTATCTTCAATTTAAACTTGTAATCATTTTACATTTCAATAATAATCAAAACACTTGTTCCACCAAGTCTTATGTATCTTTTGCATCCAGGTAAATTGTGGTAAGAGAGCCCTAAGATCCTTTTGTTATCAATTGAGACTCAACGTCTCTAGCATGCCTGGTAACTTGTTGTTTCTCAACAAATAAGATTATAATGCAAATTTGTATACAGATGGAGACAAAGATATATTTGTGCTCTTGAGTAAAATTTCATTAACTTTTCTACTGAAATAAGTAGAGGATAAGTTTAATTAGAAAGAGATGTCAGCTAAAATTATAGTCATGGACAAAGTCATAAATTTGAATTTAATTTACTAAGATCCCCAGCATTTAAAATTAATTTGTAAATCATATATACTTCGGCTCTAATGTAAAAAAAAAAATGAAATTCATTTTCATTTTATTTAAAACTTTACAATTAATACACGTTAACTGAGTACTAAGTTTACTTTTAAGAGCTTCTGAGTTCTGATTGTATAATAAAATTGCCCTTCTAAAATGACTTTCGCATGATTGTTGAATACTTCAACGAACCAAGTCGCTTTCAGAATGTTTCTTTTCTTCCCCCCTTCCTGTGCGCCAAAGATTTTAATTTTTAACTAGCTCTTTGAATTCAGAATGTAGTAAATGAAACCAAATTATTCCCTCTAATACTATTTATAAATATTTTTATTATATTTCTTTGGAATAAAATTTTTTTAAACCTCATTAACTTTATCTTAAAGTTTAATAAGTTTCCATCTCTACCCCCAAATAATAACAAAAATTATTTTTAATAATTTTTCTAGCACTTAATAAGAATAGAAAGGTAAAATTAAATATAAAAAATAGTAAAATATCTTATAAATAGGATCAAAATAAATCTTTTCTTTTTACCTTATAAATAGGACAGGAGAGTATTAATGAAGCTAAGGTGCATATAAAAAAAATCCTATCTGTATACTTCTTCTGTTAAAAAATATAAAGCATTTTTATATTTGTCTTTATTTAATCAAATGTTTCACTAAAAAAATAAGTATAAAATAGTTTATTTATTAAGGAAATTTTTAGGAAAAAAATATATTAATTACACCTCCCTTTCAATTTCTAAATCATATTTGTTAGAATATTTATTTATTTATAAATTAACATTAATTAATAAGCCTAAACAAATTGGTCTTTATGATCTTGTGTGGACCGTGATAAAAGGACCGCACAAGTGAGTCCAATGGGTAGAGGCCCAACCTACAACCCAGTAGCCGTCAGTTATTTTCTATCTCTTAACTGACTGAGTCAGAGATAATAAAATATATAATTATTTATTATTTAATAAGGTAGTTGCTAATCTGATCTATATAAGACGATTAGTCGATAACCGCAAAACACACGCCTCATTTCTCTACTGCTCCATTATTTCTGAATTCTCTGAAGGCTCTAGGGACCTGTGGGTTGTGCACCTGTCTACACTTGAGGTAATCGAGATTTCTCAAGCGCTGATGGATTTTTCAGGTACACATACATTACTTTATTATATCATATTCAATTATATATATGAATTGAGATATTTAAATATAACACAATATTAACATTCAATGTTACACTAAAATATATATATATATATATATAGGAAAAAATATATTAACATTCAATTTTTTTTAAAAAAAATACCTTATATTTTTAATAAAAGAGTATACATTATTTCTTGAAATTCTAAATCATAATAGTTTTTCCCCTTCCTTTTTTTCTTGAGAGATAATATAGGTAGGATTAAACAGCAAGAGGATCATGTATGTGTGTGTAGCATAGATGACATAAAGTAGAGGTTATCATTATTGACCAATGGTTTTATAACTTAGTAGCATGTAAGCTCTCAAGTAATTGAAACATTGCCGGTTTAATCTCACCTGTAAGATCAAACCACTAGTGTCTATCACATTAACTAAAAAAAGAAAAAAATTTATCATTAAGTGCTTAGAGAAAATAATATTTATTAGAAAGGATCTTAAAAATAGTAATTGTTTAGAAGGACCAAATACAAAAATATAAATTTAAAAATATAAATTGCTCCTAATCATAATCTCCTATATTTTCTATAACATCTCAAATTAAATTTGACAGTTACGTTACTAGCAGTAATAAATAGAAAAATAATACTGGAAATCAAAGCAAGTGAAAAATCTCCTGTGCCTTGAAGATTCACAAGTTTCACAAGTTTGAATATTCAAAAGAAGTTATAAATGTAATAATTTTTAAAAAATAAATATTTTAACTTATATTGATCGCATAATTTTTAAAAGTAATGATTTTAAAATCACATTCAATTAATTATTTTAAAAATAATTATTTTTTAAAAATATTGATTTAATTAAATTTAATAATAAATTTTTGTTTTTTGTGTGGAATTGAAATATGCACAACTTTATTTGTAAAAGATTTTTTTTTTAAACTCATACCATACTGAACATTAATTTTAAAGTGTTATTAACAGGTTTTATAATAGTCAATTATACTTATCTTGGTCCTTCAACCTAATTTTAAATTTTATGACCCTTTATAATAAATTTTAGCAGTATTAGATTCCTCTCTCTAATTTTTTCAATAAAAAAGAGTATGATTATCATTAATTCAAACTGATATATCATGCATGCATATTCAAGAAAACCACATCATTACTAAAGGCCCCAAATCCAGGGCCATGACTATCCTTAAGCAATTTTTTTGGCCAATTAAGCAATTAAGGCCATCGTCTAGGCCTCACATAAATTATAGAGCTCATGTAAGTTATAGTATTAAATTTCACTTTGTAAAGCATACAATAGTACTACGGAATTTAAAGACAAAGCATGGCAAAAATGACTTCATTTTTTTATGAAATTGGTTTTTAAAATATATGCAAATTATAAATTTAATTAAAAAAGCAATTTATAAATATATATATATATATATTTTAATGAAAATTTAAGCTATAAAATCACACATTTGTTCCAAAAAAAAATTCGGAATTGAATATTATGATGATATCATTAATAATCACTAGAATTTAAAAAAAATTAATTTTTCACCAAAAAAATGAGTTTTTAACTTTAAAATTGTCTAAATTCTACTCCCTCCATTAAAAAATATAAAGCATTTTTAACTGAATTTCACCCTCAATAAAGTAGTTACTTGCTTTCAAACTAACTCTATTTTTCCGTATTTATCCCTATTAAACATCTTATAATAAATAAAAAGTCACTATTAATAAGAGTATTTTTGAAAAAAAAAAAGGATAATAATTACATCTTAAAAGATTAAAAACGGCTTATATTTTTTAACATTTAACCCTTCAAAAAATACCATACATTTTTTAACGGAGGGACTATCAAAGATTATATTACCATATAAATTGAATGAATTCTTATTAAAAAATGTTAGAATTATTTTATCATAAAACATTGATAAATAATTTTGCAGCCCACGAAAAAAAAATGTCAATTTATGAATTACATTGCATGGTACTAGATTAGCCCCAAAACTTCCAGATACGATCTTGACCCGACGTTCACGGTCCGCCCACGAAATCGACGCCGTTAACATTAGGACTTCGCGTACTGATCTGATATGAATCATGACATATCGCATCATACATTAATAATTAAATAGGGAATTCAAATTTATAATCAAAATGGGATCGAATAAACAGGAAATTCAAAAAATTGAAAGAATTTTTGACTAGTGAAAGTTGAAGGCATTGGGCTACTGCGCCCATCTTTTGACTTGTAGATTCATCTTGAATTAAAGTTTGAGCAGACAATCTGCTAATAACGCAATGGCTTATATCACCAATAAGAATTTGCCCGGAATTTTAGCCTTTGTGAAAGCAAACTGTATCACGTCCAATTTGAAAAATGGATGATCTATTCCTATATACATATATAGAAGATGCTATCGATGAGAAACATCAATCAAATACAGAATGGATAATTCAACGATTCAGATATGTTTCTTGGCTTCTGTGCCAGCCTTTGTATCAGCCATGGTTTCTTTTGTTTGCCAAAAGAACATGTGGCGCTATTCATATTTGGGGACTCAGTATTTGATGCTGGAAACAATAACTACATCAACACGACCCCTGATTTTCAGGCAAATTTCTGGCCTTATGGGAATACTACACTTAATACCCTTCTGGAAGACCTTCTGATGGACGTCTGATTCCAGATTTTATTGGTAATAGGTTTTGCATCTGTTTTTTATATTTGGAAAAAGTCTTAAGTGGAGTCAGGTTATAAAGGGTACATAGACATTAAACATATGTTCGTCTCGCTTTCAAGTTGTGCTGATCTTTGACAAACGTGTTAATTCATAATTGGTTTAGTCTATTTATTGATGCAACTATTTCTATTTAGGAATATTTCTTATATTTTAGCATGAGTTTGTCTAACGTTGAAGCATTTTCTCAGCTGAACATGTAAAGCTACCTTTTATTCCGCCATACTTGCAACCTGGTCTTCATCAATATACTGATGGCGTAAATTTTGCATCAGCTGGTGGTGGTGCTCTTGTTGAAACCAATAAGGGATTTGTATGTGATGATTCTCCCTTTCAGAAACTCAGTGCTTTTCTGTTACATTTTTAGCATAGGGAAATGCAATTTTAATTTTTGGAAGTTGAGCTTCTCACAACAAAATTCTAAATCCGCCGGTGTTTTTTTCCATTTTGTTGATTTCCTAATTTAGTATCAGATTAAAATATCGGTTATGATCCTACTTAAACTAATGTATTCAGAGTGAATAAGAACATCAAACATTGATAAACAGATTAGAGTAAATTGTTAACTCTGTATTGAATTTTTTATTAGGTGATAGACCTTACTGGTCAGCTCAAGTATTTCATTGATGTGGAGAGATTGCTGAAGCAGAGCTTGGGAGATGAAGAGGCAAAGAGATTGTTGTCCAAAGCTATCTTCCTGTTTAGCATAGGGATTAATGACTACTTGGTACGTTTCAGTTCTAATAATTCTTCCAAGTTTCAGACTTACCCTGAAGAAAAATATGTTGACATGGTGATAGGCAATGTGACCACTATTATCAAAGTAAGTACTTTTTAAGCTCTGAAAATTTCTTTAAGCTGTCTGATTCACAATTTGAAGGTATCAATCTGACATTGATTTGACCTGTTTAGGAAATTATAAGAAAGAGGAAGAAAGTTTGGATTTCTAAACCTGCCTCCTTTAGGATGTCTACCTGTAATTAAAACGCTCATCCCACCTGATCAAGATGGCTGTGTTGAAACGGTTACAGAAGTTGTAAAATTACACAACGAAGCACTGAGTGAAGCCCTCCATGGAATAGAAGCTCAGCTAGAAGGATTTAAATATTCATACATTGATTTCTACACTTCAATTAGTGAGAGAATGAACTCACCTTCAAAATATGGTACTGCTACATATATCTACCTTGTTACTTGTTAGCCTATCCTGCTTTATTCTATAATCTTATATATCTACCTTGTAAGCCTCTCCTGCTTTATTCTGCAATCTTAAATAATTGTGCAGTCTTCAATTTCAAGCCTGCTGATCGATATTGTTTCTGTGTTGTTTAAAAGGCTTCAAGGAAAGCAACATAGGATGTTGTGGCGGCGGTCCGTACAGAGGATGGCAAAGCTGTGGAGGGAAAAGGACAGTGAAAGAGTATGATGTGTGCACTGATGTGGGAGATTATTTGATCTTTGATGCTGTTCATCCCACTGAAAAAGCTTACCATCAAATCGCTGAGCTAATTTGGAATGAAGATCACAAGGTGGCACAACCTTACAATCTCAAAGAATTATACCAACTTTAAACATTCATCAGTATGCGAGGAAATTATAGCACCCTGCTTTCTATATATATCCGAATATATTTATCTTCTGTACCCAGAATTTGACCTCGAGGACAAGGTACCCAGCCTCCTCGAACATTTTGTGAAACTTGTCTCTGGAAGCGTCTCAGCTTTTTCCTCTGCTGCTCTGAACTTTTCCTTTTCTGTGATTTCCTAATATTTACTGGATTGCTGGAGTAATCTTCCATTTTTGCAGCCCTCTGTAAGATTGAATAACACAGAGTAGTTGTCACTTCTCATTTACTGTTCGTGTCAGGTGCATGTGTCATGAGATTAGTCTGGACATTATTCACAGTGCTGGGATGGGAATGTACCACTATAGATCTTTATGAAGTAAAACTGCTAGGAATGCTTCATTGGGAAAAGTTTTGAAAGCCAAATACAGTTGTGCACAATAGATATTGCCTTCGGAAGTCAAAGTCCTCATTCCTCCCTTATTTGGCGTGTTATGGGCATCCCCAGCGTGTGGAATAAAGTTACCGAAAAGTGAATCATAAATAGAAAAATTATTACCAATTTTGTCACCCACATTGATTGTTATTTGACAGTTAGATTGCAGATGCACGCACGCACAGAGGAGTTTGTGGTAGCTGTCTTCTGGGTCATTTTCTTCTAGAAGAAAGACCCACAAACTTAAATAAATAAAGTTGAATTAACATTCTAAAAATCTATAAAGAATTTAGGGTAATAAGCATTTGAACCCTAAAATATTGCGTGAAAAATATCTTGAATCCTGAACTCCTAAAATGTACAAAATGAATCATAAAATTTTTAAATTAAAAAAAAATTATCCCCCACCATTAATTTATAAATAACACCATTAATGGTTTGACTTTGTAGGGTCCAGTCAAATGCTTATTTGGTAGTTTTTTTTAAAGATGTGACTGTTTTTTGTTAATGTGTCATTGGTTAATGAGTATCACAGACCCTAAACTATTGCACGAGTAACAACCTGGATTTTAAAATTTGAAATTCAAAATAAATTATTCTTGCCATTTATGTATAGAACGTTGACTGTTATATAAACCAAATTAGTCTCCACTAGGGTGGGAATAGGTTAGGTCTCTAATAAGGCCTACAACCCGACCTACTTCAAGTCTAGTCTAACTTATTTACTAAATGAGCTCAGGTTAGATTTAGGGTTTTAATTAAGTCTATTTAGTTAAATAAGCCTTTCAAAGCCTAACTTATAGGCCAACAGTCCAACCTATTTTACATACATACATACATACATACATAATTTTAGTAACATATCTCACAAACATTTAGTTTCATCATTTGATTTTTAATCAATCTATTCTTTTTTATTTTTAGTTATATTTTCAATTATATTAGACTTATATATTAATTTTGATATTGTTACTTTATTGTTATAATTGTATTATAGTTGGTAAGTCCTTTCAATTATTATATATTATAATTGATAAATCATGTTATATCTTGTATACTATAGAGTTTTAAAGTGTATTTAAAATGTTAACTAAAATGCAAACATGTTTAAAATCTTACTTTTAAATAGGCTTTCAAAAACGAACATGCTTTAGATAGGTTTAAACCTGAGTCATAAAAAAAAATCTTATACAAGCTCTTACTTCATATAGGGTTTAATAGACCCGAATAACCACCCAAACTTCAATTAATCTAATTAGGACCTTGATTAATTACCCTAACCCTTACTTAATTCACGTAATCTTATTTTAAATTTCAAAATATTACAATATGCATATATCTCATTTATTAGTATATTTCAATAAAAATAGTAAGATATATATATTTAGTTATTTTTATTTGTTAATATTAATTTTTTTGTAATACTATATATTTATTGCATATATAAACATCTTAGTCTTTTTAATTAAAGGGTTAATGAGTAAAATGAATCTAAAGTATTGTGTGAAAAGCATCTATGAATCATGAAACTCTCAAAATATATAAAATGGACCTTAACTTTTTAAATTTATAATAAATTAAACCTCACCGTTAACTCACTATTAGCGCCATTACTGTTCACTTAATAGAGCTCAGTCAAAATGCTGATGTGTCATTTTTAATTAGTATCACATACCCTAAACTACTGCGTTAGTAACATTCTAGACTCTAAACTTTAAAATTCAGAGCAAATTACCTACACTGTTTAGTTTAAACATTGACTATTATGTAGATTGAATTAGCTTTAGTGTGACAATCCATAATTTTGTGAAAGGACTCTTTTGCCCCTTTCTTTGCAATATTTTTCAAGCAATTAGCATCGCATGCTTTTATATACTATATAACTCTAATTTAATCTTATTTTAAATAATATTTATTTATTTAATAGTGAAAGCTTGGGATTGCATTTGAAAAAAGGTTAAGTATCAGAGAATTTTATAGATGATGAATGCAAAAGCTTACAATTTTATCAATAGATTTCAAATCCAAATTAATCATTTGGAAAAAAATTGCAAAAAAAAAAAGGAGGCAAAAATATTATTTCACAAAATTATGGCTCGTCCATCACGATCAACAATACGTCATCGTTGCGGACCACACTGAGGTTAAGTTGATCTACAAAATAGTCAGTATTCTACATATAAATAATGGAGATAATTTGCTTTAAATTTTAAGTTCAAAGTCCAAGATGCTACTTACATAATAATTTAAAGTCTATAGTACTAATTAAAAATGACACATCAGTAAGGAATTAGCACATCAACATTTTGATTGGGCCCCATTGAGTGAGCAGTAATAGCGTTAATGGTGAATTAACAATGAAGTTTAATTTGCTATAATTTAAAAATTTAGGGTCTATTTTGCATATTTTAAAAGTTTAAGGCCCAAAATGCTTTTTGCACAATACTTTAGGGTTCCATTTGGCTTATTGAACTCTTAATTAAATTGTATTGAATTAAATTATCATAGAAATTGTCTATTTGTATGGGTAGATATTTAATGTTTTTGTTATTCATTTGAACTCACTATCAGTATTTTTGT